CGCATATCTTACCCCTACCTTGTGAGGATAGAGAGACCGTTTCCAATAGACCCTCGGCTCAAGATAATATAAGTATCACATTAATAAAAATATAGGCAAGAAGAGACAGTATCAAAAAGCCATATAAAAGCAGAATAACACAACAAGACAGTAAAGTGATCAGCAATGAAAGAAAACAACGGTTAGTCATAAAAACCTATTACTAACAGAAAACGAGACTGCGTGCCAATACTAAAGTTATGAACACTCGACACTACCTACTCTACTACCCTAATTCTCGACCCCCATACCTTCCTATCAAGGGTCATGTCCTCGGTCAGCTGAAGTTGTACCATGACTTGCCTAATCACTTCTCTCCACCTCTTCTTTGGCCTACCTCTACCTCTCCGTAGGCCCTCCAATGTCAAACTCTCAATTAAGCACTTTCAATATTAAGGACAATAGTGCTTAAAAGATGGTTTAAGAAGTAAAATATCTAAAATGCCATCAATTTTAATTTTAGGGATCTTTACATAAATAGCCGGTTACACATAGATTTATCTGTCCAACTTCTACTGAATCAAAATATGTACTTATTATACATGGTTATATACATATTATACATAGATTAAATATATATCGTATATTTCTTGATTATATTAACACTATGTTTGGATCATTATTACCCATCGTTTTATAATATATTGCATTGTACTGTACTGTATTGTATTGTATTATATTGTATCATTTTATCGATACACTATTTGAACAGATTGTATCGTTGTTGTTGTTAAATAACATTTTTATTTTTTAATTTGACTGTATCGTATTGTACTGTAATTAATAAATTCACTAAAATACTCCCAATTATTTAAATGAAACTTATCAAGAATTACATATAAAAATAATTCAAGAAAACATCTTTCTACTAATTCATCATTAATTTACGTAGCTTGGAAACAAGAGCAAAAACCTGAAAAGAAAGATTAACTAATATGAGCAACAAAAAAAAAAAAAAAAATTAAAACGATGGAAAGAGACAAAGAATTGAACGGAGACTTGGATAAAAAGAACGGCGCAAACCAACTCTAAAAAAGATGGAAGAAGACAAAGTAGGTCGATAAGTTGGAGATTAGGAGTTAAAGTAAAAAATAACTAAATGATAAAATAGAATTATGGAGTAATAAATAAGGGCATAATTGGAAAAGAAATAGGAAACGGTCCCACCACACCGGATCAGTTGTTTCATAAAATAAGGGTTTTGGTTGTTCCGGAACAATGCATTTAATAATACGATACAATCAATTTTAAATAAACAATCAAAATAAACATTACCTTGGGATAACAATATAATACGATACAATGAGTTACAACCATTCAAACAAAGCTGTTAGTTGGGTTGATGACTATTTAGGTTATTTTTTCTTAAACTTTTTATTAACATAATAAAACAGACATGTCAACCAAGTACTTTTCATCAGAGAGAAATTCAAAAATAGCCAGATTTACCACTGGTCGTTGAAAAATAGCCAAGTTTCAAAAGTCATCGAAATTTAGCCACTTTAAATCTAAGCGAAAACACTGTTCAAAATTCGGAAAAATACGCCCGTAAATTTTACGGGAGTTCCAGCATAAGTATGCTTGAACTCCCGTAAATTTTACGGGAGTTCCAGGATAACTATGCTGGAACTCCCGCAAATTTTACGGGAGTTCCAGCAAGTATAATTGTCCAGTATAATATACTGGAGTTTGGAGCACTGGTGCTCCAGTCTCCCGCAAATTTTACAGGAGTTAGCAAAGTATACCGGTCCAGCATAATATGCTGGAGTTCGTACACAAATGCACCAGAACTCCCGTATATTATATTGGACCGGTCTCTGTTACAGCAAAATAGTGGCTATTTTTCATTGACTTGATAAACGCTGGCTATTTTTCATTGACCAGTGTGAAAACTGGCTATACCATGATATTTTAACTAAAAATGGACTAAATGTATGCTTATATCACCTGTCGTTTAAGCTTTGGGTCAGCCCAATAATGGGATAACGGGCCTGGTTGGCCTAATCGAGACCAAGATGCTATTAATTTCATTTTTGGAAATTTTACCTCCTATAGCAAAGGTTGATACCTTATTTATTATAAATAAATACCCTTTTAAAAAATTATCTCCTATAGCTACCTTCTAATTTTTATAGCAAAATATTTATTTATGGCTATTTCTTACCTTTAAGCCATTAAATACGTTGTGTATTATATTTCTCTCTCCTTCTTTCCTTTTTTCTCTCACAAAATTACCATATAGGGAGTAAACTTATGTCTCAACGATCTCTCTCTCTAATTTCTCTCCGTCACAGCGCCATTCTCTTCCCCTTTCTCGCTATCAACGATTCTACACTGATTCATCTCCATTGTCTCTCTCAAATTTTTAGCCAAGCTTGTGGAAATTACTGGTGGAGGACTTGACAGACCATTGTCGAGATCAAGTCCCATTGGCGATGCAGTGTCAGCATAATTTATACCACCGAAGCCATTTATTCCCTCAGGAAGTCCAAATACAGGATTTGCTATAAGGAAAGCCTTTGATCCTTCCATTCATGATAAAGGCCCCAAAAGTGCAGACAAAATTTTCAAAGCAGAAATGAGAGATTCACTACCTGAACGACTTAGAGGGCGCGATATCGGTGGCGACGCCCCACATGGCGGCGGCCCGTATATCGATGGATTGGGGACGAAGTTTGGGGCTGAGGAACTTGAAGAGTCTGTTACCTTTTTTTTATTGTATTTCAATATATCTCGTTGTATTCCATGTATTTTATTGTATTCACTGTCTTTAGTTTTTTCTACTTTCAATATATTCACTGTATTTAACTGTATTCAATGTAATTATATAACTTCAAAGCTTCACTTTATTTCACTGTTTTGTCCAGCAGTATATATTCAGCAGTATGTATTCAATATATTGTGGAATGTATTCATATATTTTTTTAATTAATATAATTTATGTATTCAGACGTATCTATTTATTCAAATGTATCTGCAGTATGTATTCATATGTTTTTGCACTATAGATGACCTACATTACTTCATATATTCAATGTATTTTTATATATTTAACTGTATTTAATGTAATTATATAATTTTAATATATAAATCTATTTGTAAAGATACCACTAAAAAAATATTTTAGTAAAGATACCACAAAAAAAAGGATGGATTGAATCTCTGAAGATTGCTCTATTTTTTGGGTGTTTTTCGGTTGAGAATCTTTTCTATAACTAGAAATACAAATTTTGTGTGTTATAATTGAGTTTGTTGAGTTATATTAGGAGTCTATCGCGTTAATCGATTCACTTACCGTTTTTAAACAACTGAAGACCTTTTTTTTTCGCAACTTCCGTTACTGTATTCACTAATACAGCTCGCGAATACATATGAATACAATCTATACGTTAGTTGTAATTCCCTTTTTTCTGCCCTTTTTTCCTATTGTATTCATGAATACGTTAGCTTAAATACATTGAATATACTCCACAACTAGTTAAAATATAGCTATAGAAAGTAATTTAGTAAATGGTAGCTATAGGAAGCTAATAAGTAATAATCACTAAAACATAGTGGTTTCTGAAAATTTCTCTTTGTAGCCGCGCCACCGTAATACCCGCAGACAAAACCATCTCATCTCTATCGTGTTATGCTATTGTGACTTATAGCCTGTTTGGCCAAGCTTTTTTTTTGGGCCAAAAGTATTTTTTTGGCCGAAAGCACTTTTGGCCAAAAATTGAGTTGTTTGGCCAAGTTTTTGGAAGGGAAAAAAGTGCTTTTGAGGAGAAGCAGAAGCAGTTTTTGAGAAGCAGAAAAAAGTAGCTTCTCTCCAAAAGCACTTTTCTAAGAAACACTTTTAAGAAAAATACACTTAGAAGCAGTTTTCAAAAGCTTGACCAAACACTAATTACTGCTCAAAACTGCTTTTCAAATTAATTAGCCAAACGCAAACTGCTTCTCACCAAAAATACTTTTTAAAAAAAGTACTTTTGAGAAAAGCACTTCTCAAAATAAGTTAATTCTAGAAGCTTGGCCAAACAAGCTATTATTTTGGTTACCTTTTTTTTTATAGTAATATATTTATCTTACTCACAATTCTAGAATATGTGAATATGACCAGCTCTTTTTAAGAATCACCATGTGGTGTAACGTGATTTTCTGTTATGACATTCACTTTTGAGTCTGCATCTATACCAGATTAGGGATAGCAATGGGGAAGGGTGAGAGGGGGGCAGAGGGGGTCTAAGGGCTTTCCGGGGCCGAGGCGGGTTGGCAGGTCTAGTTCTTTCCAAACTATGCGGGTACGGTACGGGTAGGGGCAGGATGAACCCTCCTATGTCGGAAAAATTATATTGGTATAATATTTTTTTTTTTTANNGAATTAATGCTTCCTACTAGGAAATTTTCTTTCTCAAGGCTCGAATTATAGACCTATAATTAAGAGAGACATGATCTCAACAATCCCACCACACCCCTTGGTGATTCTTGAAATCCTGCTATACCTTTAACTTCTTCAACACGTTCAAGAACCTTACTACTAAAATTTCATGGTTTAATATACGGTTTTTGTCTGGTGGACAATCTGAAGTCGAGGCTACGTCTCAACTTGAACGCGATGAACCTATGGCACGTTTCATTGTCATATGCCATAGCCCATCAGAACTGGTTCATAGTTAAAGAATTGTGAAATGGATCCCGGTCACCTTTGGTACTAAGAGGGCTACATTTATCATTTCAAATACTGGCCATTATAAAGAAATTTCCCACTATACATGTCATCTGACATAGATCCTGCTTATATATGTTAAAATCAAAGTTTTCCTACAAGAACAACTGCTATGATGACTCCACCCGATTCTTCTTTTACCAACCTTGTAAAACTGATGTCTGACCGATATTTTTCCCAATCATGGTCAAACTGTGAGCAGTAGTTGTGCTAACGCAAAATTACAAAATGCAAGAGTTCTAAAGAACGAAACTTAAGAAAAATAATTCTACATGTTTATTAGCAAGCCATAGTACACGAGATCAATTCATACAGATGACATCGTTCATGGATGGGCAACTATACATCTGTCCACGACGAGATACATAATTTAGTGGTTAGTTAAAGGACATAAAGTATACTTCTATGTGTATAGCAGTGAGATGATGCTTTCACATCCAACTCCTACCTGAAACCTGGCACTGGGACAGCCACAAATCTATATATTCAACAATCTTTTCCCTTACTTTCCGAACTGCATCAGGAGAAGTGCAGTTTTTGGCGTCACCTGTGATATGAAATAATTGTCATGAAATGCATCACGGTTCATGGCTATAAAAGAAGGAAATTCACAAAACATCATGCCTAAGACAAGTCGAAGATCAATAGAGACAGCAATCTCGGTGAACTTTGTGTGCTCAAAGTATCTTCTAAAGTTGGAATGACACTAGCAGTTAATCAGGTTGATGTTCTTATCATATATGGAGACTGAAAGCTATATTCAGATAATTGTCCAATTTGATGCTAACTTCGACTAACTTTGTGTGTTCAAAGTAGCTTCTAAAATGGGAATGACGCTAGCAGTAAATCAGGTTGATGTCCTTATCATATATGGGGACTGAAAGCTATATTCAGATAATTGTCCAGTTTTATGCTATCGACTAATTTTATTTGGTGAGCAAACTAAAAGTATCCAACTAAAAGTATGAAAATGCTGGAGACATTGGACCCTCTGAATCAGTAAAAACCTCCACTCGTAACGTACTGATAGGAATAAACAAATTACGAACTAAAGAAAGAACAAGTCACAAATTGGAATTTTGCTTATTGAGCTTTTTGTTTAAAGTCAAATGCTTTATTAGTGAACACACTGAACAGTATGCATCAAAATATATAATATGGTTATCTGGACTAATCACATTCTTCTAGCAAACCTCCGTCGATTATTTATACCAAAAGATATATTTTTAGGATGGTATAATGATAGAAGAGCTAGCCTCTGACATAGCGGAGTTACTTTCGACACTGCTTTTCTTCTCCTTTCCAATTCTCTTTAGCCTTTAGGTCGCAACTACTCTGCCACCATCGTTAATAACACCAAAATTGATGTCAAATAACAAAAAGACATGGCCACAAAGCTGTGAAATGTTCGAAATTGCACTTAAATATGGTATGCATCTTCTCCAAACCTTTACACAGCAATTAGCTTGCTCCTTCTAAGATTATCCGCCCTAAAAAATTGCATTTTACGTAGCACACCAGGTGAAAAAAAGGCAACCTTCTTTAACAGCTTAGTTATCCATATTGCCTTCCGCAAGCCCTCTTGTCACCCCCTTAGGATAATCCTACGTGATAGGATCTTACGGTCTTTTCCATAGACATTCACCATTAATTTCTCATTGTATTGCAAGTGCTACCAACTGTATGCAGCAGTTCAGGGTCATAGTTGAGAAAAACATAAATTTAAAATTTTTATCATAAATAATCGGCAACAAGAATTTGTTTTTTTTAACAAACTTGATGTCGATGAATCTGCGAATCTAGAAATTCATTTCGATTATAGAGGTAAAAGAATATAATAATAAATGCAGCAGTGACCAAAGAGACTAAATTAAGTAAGATTAGATAGAAAAACTGCAAGCAAAGAAAAGGAAATATGGGGTTTGACGTAAGAATACTCATGTCCAGCGTACTACTGGATATGAGAAACCAGTGAAGTCTAAAACAGTTAACATTGAGATCTGTCATATGCATACCTTCAGGGACTAAAGGAGACTGGGGGCAGCCCCGCAAGTCAGTTCCATGGCCACAGTTATGGCAAGAGACTATGTAAGAAGGCACTGAAAGTTGAAACGAGGTCTCAGAAAAAAGAAGAAATACTTGCGGTACAGCAATTTAAAGTGAGTACTCTAGCCTCAAAAAAATTGTCATTTTAAAAAGATTTTTAGCAAAAGGTCATTCTGTTTCTGATCCATCACTGTGAATTCAAGCAAACACTTCACAGAGAAAATCATATTTAAGATCAAGAAGCAGATATATCAATTATCAATTGCGCAGACGTGTTTATAGCTGATGAAACTTGAATAAGGACAACAGATTCCAAACCTGATTTTATAAAAAATTTACTTTATGATAAAAATGTTTCTTGTGGATGAAGAATGGTCTGTTTAACTCTTCACATTTACTTTATTTTTGAATGGTAGCATGGTCCTTTTTACTTTAGAAGAATAAGCATTAAGGTCATGCATCTGTCTTGGAACACAACACTCTACAAATCTAGTTTCACAATAGACAGGGATGAAATTTCACTATCGGAGAAGCCTAAAACTTACTCTCAGGGGAAGAAGTCTGTTTGGACGCATGGCGCCAGGGGTCCTGTGATCCATTGGTGAAGATAATCTTTGACCCTGCCAAAACAAAATTTTAACATAATGAAATTTGTAATTCCATAATTGTTCCATATTTGAAGCAGGATAAAGTGAAAAAAACAAATTGGCTATTCATCCAACTAGAGCTCACACCCTCTCCAACATTTTTTAGGCATGACAAATGGGTAAATGGTGTGACAGAATATCTATGGAAACAAAGACAAGGCAAAGAAACATTCTATTCTATTGCAGATACTCGTATAGGGACAAATTCCAAATGCCAGAGATTGCATTCAGTTAGATATTGAGTCCAATCTGAAAGTCATCAACCCCAAAAAACAAGGTTTTAAAAATTTCGGAGACAAAACATACACCTTCCATTAAACTGACCATGCTCTAAAAAACAGCCATTTATATCAAGTATTTATCCCCCCACCCCCAACACACACACCCTCGTCAGTTGGCTTGAGGTGATTATTTTCTTTTCTTTAATCATTAACACAAGTGATAAACTTAAGGCAACAGTGATGTCATGTCATTACTTTGTAAAATTATCAGGGTGTGCTGTGAATGTTGGGATCATATAAAGTAATCCCGGGCAAATTGATTAGCTGCCTAAAGTTTTTAGCAAAGCAAAATAAAAAGGCCAACCGACGGAATCAAATAAAATAATATAGGTAATGAATATTCTCTTATTAAGTGCACCCGAGCCGACAACAGATTTTCCCTTCTTTTTTTCCTTTCAAATAAACTCAAGGGTATCCTATTAACAGATATATCAGATAAGGAAACATAAAGGAGAAATGAGACTGCTGAAATAACTATCGAATGGTTACCAGCAATTTTGGTTCCTCCATAGTACAAGTTAGTTGCATCAACTTCAGGATATATACCGGTGCCAAAGACATTCCTGCAAAGGTCCAAATGGTATCTGCACGAATGAATTATGAAGTCAGTTCACCAGAAGGTGTGTGACTAAACAAGTGGAAACAGCTCAGTCGAACAAAGAAAAGAAACAGGGCTTAAATACTTCGAAGAGTAAGACACATGCCTGGTATCAACTTTAGTAGAGCGAATACTATCATTCGAGGGTGCAACCTGAAAATATGCAACTTCTGTGCAGACCTGGAACCACCACAAGCGATCAGAAGTATCACCATTTACAGCAGTGTTCTTCAGATTTTCCTGATTGTATGTTTTGACGCTGACCCCCAAAGTCTTAATGTAATACTCCTTTACATAAGTGGCATATGCATTCTGCAAATAAGAAATAAAATAAACGATTAAAGAAGTAAAGAGGATAAGCAAAGTCTTCCACAACATGAATTCTTTTTTCTTTTTTCTTTTTGGGTGATTGGATCTTGTAACATGATGTTCTGGTCAGTGGTCACAGATTATGCAGTTGGAATTAAGCTGAATTCCTCATTTAAGTGTAGAGAACTTCCTGGAAAGCTAGCATAACAGGAAATCGATAAGGAAAATTTTGACATAGAGAACTTGAGATTTTTCAGAACTACCTATTGAACATAAACATCCATGGGAATATCTTCTTATGTTGTTTCCGAATATAGAATATATACACTCTAATCCAGGTGCAGCTGAAAAATTGTTCTTCAGTAACTACTAATTTTTTTGTTTAACTAATTACTGGTTCTAAGAAAAGAGAAAAGGCATATTTATATAAATATGGGTATCTTCTCTAAGAAAACTTATGTACGTGATACTGAAGAAATTCTCTTCGTGGCATTTCTGACAAGCTCCCGAAGGTAATATGTCTCTGATCTCAACCTCGTGGGGACAGGGGACGGGGAACGCTTGGGGGGTGGGAGGGGGAAAGGGGGTTACACTCCAAAAATAATGTAAGGCAACAAATGAAACCATACCACTAAATCTTCCCCAGACTTCTTTGCTTCAAGTAGTGGGCTGCATAGTTTGTCTGGACTTCCATATTGAAACTAAAACATCAAAAACTTTCAATTAGGAAAACAACAAACTCGTTCAATAGAAGATAATCTTATGAATGTCTCATACATACCGCTGTAACTGCAGCATCTGCAAGAAAGTACAGGAAGTCGCCATCAATCCTCAGCTGAAAGAAAATTAAAGTTTCTGTGTATCAGACTTATAAAAGAGAGCAACAATAAACATGCATCCTCTCCTTGATTGAGAACATGAAGTAACAACAACAACAACTACCCAGTAAAATCCCACCAAGTGGGGTTCTGGGGAGGGTAATGTGTACGCAGATCTTACCCCTACCCCGACAGGGCAGAGAGGCTGTTTCCGATAGACCCTCGGCTCAGAAAGATGGAAATAAGAAAAACAAGAAAAGACAATTCATTAGTAACTCCAGTAGAAATCGTAATAGTAACAGAAGCATAACAATCAAAAGATGGATGACATGCAATAACAGTAACCAGGCCCGGGGCTCAGATAAACAGCAAGTATAGTGTGTATTCAACATAAACTGCAAGCCATCTAAGGCCAACCCTAATCCAACCCCGCCTCACCCCCGGAAAGAAGTAAGAAAAGTTCTACTACCCCCTAACCTACAACCCTAATGCTAGACCTCCAGACCTTCCTATCAAGGGCCATGTCCTCGGAAATCCGCATTCGTACCATGTCCTGCCTGATCACCTCTCCCCAATACTTCTTAGGCCTCCCTCTACTTCTTCTCGTACCCACCACGGCCAACCACTCACACCTCCTTACCGGCGCATCAAGGCTTCTCCTCTGCACGTGTCCGAACCATCTGAGCCTTGCTTCCCGCATCTTGTCATCCACAGGGGCCACACCCACCTTCTTCCGAATATCTTCATTCCTAATCTTGTCTATCCTAGTGTGCCCGCACATCCACCTCAGCATCCTCATCTCCGCTACCTTCATCCTCTGGATATGTGAGTTCTTAACCGGCCAACACTCTGCCCCATACAACATGGCCGGTCTAACCACAGCTCTATAAAACTTACCTTTGAGTGTCAGTGGCACTTTCTTGTCACACAAATCCCCAGATGCAAGCCTCCATTTCATCCAGCCCGCCCCTATACGGTGAGTGACGTCCTCGTCGATCTCTCCGTCCCCCTAAAGTAACATGTTTATTATTTGGTCAGATTACATCAATCCAAAGTCTCTTGAGAGCATAAAGCTACGGGGTTGGCAGTATTCGCCATTGCCATTTAACCTATGTCAAGGATTAATTGGTTTGAACTTTAAAACTCTACCAATAAAGAATTAATCTGACGGACTTCAGCAGCCCACATTACTGCATATATCATCACTGATATGTTTCCATAAGCATTAAAGGGTATACTATTATAGACTACTACTAGAAAAAAATGGAAAGAACAATTGAATATTATACTTATTTAGTATCCAGAGTTACCACAGATATGATCAGCAATATGCTGCTTTAGATGATTGAGGTCACAATGTCAGAGAACTCTTTGAGAGGAAGGTAAAGAAATCACACAAACAATGAACAACCAATACCTCATCAGCACCAAACAACGCTTTAAGGTCCTTGCGATTTGACGCAAGCCTTGTTTCTACTAGTTGAGTAATTTCTTGCAATACTGCTTTACATTCTGGACCAGCAGATTCGCCAACCTACAGTAGGAAGACCAGGAGTCAAATTCACAGATCCTCTAGAAACTGTGTAGTGTGTCCAACAAATCCAAAAGAGAGCCACAAACAGACAACATTCTTAGTCACATTGTCTCAATTTCACAGTGTTCAGGCCTGTTCTCTTGTAAGCTTTTTTCTTTTGGGATTTATTCTCTTGTAATACTATAGGAGTTAGAGGCATTCTCAGATGATCATATTGAGGACAGCTTGTGTTTTTTATTTTTCCCAACTTTTGTCTCTCCCTTTTATTAGTAATACTAGTAATTATTTAACGAATATTCTAAGACAATAGAAGGACTAAGCCTGTTCGTTCAGGAAAACAAAACAACTGTTACCAAAAGGCTAATTTTCTACAAGCAATTAAGCTTACGCACACAGTTACTTCTTCCAAAACCATATCTAAACTCAGATAATGTTTCTAAAAACAAAAATAAACTAAAAACCACAATGTTTTACAATCCATCACCTAAAGAAAGATAAAAATTACAAAAGGAAGAACATCCGAAGAGCTTTCCTTCGCATTACCATTTTTTTCCTGATGCGAAGAAAACTACCATAAATATTAACAACCAAAGTAGCACAATTTTTACCTGCTTGTCAAAATCTGAGAAGCTGTAAACTGCTTGAACTACAGCAGAGCTTGCAAGGCTTCCACAAGTCAGGTGAGGAAACTTCAGGCGAAACCATGCACTAAGGGCTCCTGAGTATGAAATACCAAAGAAAAACCACGGGTTTTCAACATTGGATCTGTTGAGCTTCACGTTCAGGGACTCCTGCAGCATATAAGAACTATTATCCGCTGAACAATCATCATGCGAAAGGGAAAGAAGGGGAATTGAGAAGTGGAAAACTAAATCAGTGATGTAACATAGGACTTATTTTATTGCATACCTGAATCAAAGGCTCATCGTTTCACGTTTTCCTATCATTATTTATTTTTCGTCTTGCTAATATTGACATTTTGAAATTACATATAGAGATGCATTGACGAACTAGAAACAGACTACCCACCTAAAATATGGGTTGTCAGATTTTAGTTAGTTCTGGGCCAAGTGCTACAATCCAAAGACATTTTACCTATAGTGCCACTAAATGGTGATTGGTTTACCCTAATCTATACGAGATATCGAGCTAGATTATAAGAAGTGACATGCTTTGGATTGACACAAAATTACAATAGATAGAGGATATAGAATTAAGATGCAACCAACCTGATAGAAATTCCTGAAAGCTGCCAAGTCAAAAAGTGCCTGTTTTGATGACAGATATTTCAGATTCCCAGTTGTCAAGGATTTGAAGGGTGAACTCTTCCCATAATAGCGATGCTCAAGAGTAACGACAGCAGCTCCAAACTTCTTCGCCAAAACCTGTTAAACATGCAAGGTTCAGAAGTAGAAGTTAGTGGTTTTAACCTTCCATGACTCCAAATGATAAGTCATTGTCACAGCCAAAGCATGTACCTATGTGTTTGTTTTGTGCCAGCAAACCATAATACCAAAAGCTGTAACTCATTGCCGAGGTTATTTGGCTTAAAATAATCTCACTATAAAATCCCCATTGTTACCTGGGTGTTTGGTTACCATTTTTGTTTCTCAAATAAATAAAATCACATGCCATGTAACTTATGTGGGAAATCATGTATTATTTCACACCGGAACGGCGTGGAATAGGAGTACTTGTACTAGCAATATGATAAGAGCATCTTAAGACCTTACCTTAATTATAAAAACTATGATCATGACAGTATCAGATAGTAAGAATTCCTAATTTTTGAATTTATCAGTAAGGTAAAACTTGTACTTTGCCACTTATTGATCTTTTTAACTAAATAAAGTATGACAGCAGATTCAAATAGATATCAACTGAGATACTTGAATTAAAACCCACACAAAACATTTGACCAACTTTAGTAGTGCTAAAACGATCCTAAAGCATATAAACCACGATTGCAATGCATGTGGAACCAGATATAATAGTTATATAGCTCAACCAGTCCTTCAAATGCTGCCTGAAGTAACTGAATCTAGGTCACAAAAATGAAAGATCAATTTCTTTCCCATTTCCTTCTCCAATTCCTACCGCCATGTACCCCACCCATGGCAAAAGGGGAGATTGAAAGCGAGTTGGGCACCGGAGAAAAAGAGGGGATGCGGCATAAAAAGACTTGACTGTCTTGATAAACAAAGTAAAAAAGACAAAACAAGAATTATAAGAATGCATTCACGAAGAGAATAGAGTATCAGCAGTAAGGATTACAACTTACACTGAGGTAATCATTCGGTATCCCGTTGCAAGCAGATTCTCCACAAATTTTCAAAAATATGGGTCCATCAGGAATTCGGAAATAGTCAAGAAACTCATAGTACCTCTGTCCAAATGTACGATGATCCTATAAAATAGCAACACTAAGTTAAAGGCATACAACGACCAACGCAGTCAATCAAAAACAACTCAATGCTTGATCCATCTTTATCTCGACTACCTGTTGATCCATTTATTGGACTTTTAAATCCTACAAGCTTTTACTTTCATAGTGCTATACTTTTCCTAGTAGCACATATTTCTCTTAATATTCAGCTGCATTGGATGGATTCCTTTCATTCTCACGTCGATATAGTTATCTCAATGCATTGAAACTCTTCATGATAATAGAAACATACAGGGGCAAGATTAATGTTTTTTCCAGGTTCAACAACAACAACAACATACCCAGTGTAATCCCAAAGAGAGGTTGTTTCCAAGAGACCCTCGGCTCAATGAAAGCATAACACAGCAGTTATGACAAAGAAATACTCGGGATCCTATAAAACCATTTTTTTACGTACTTCAATGTAAAAACATAATTTTCAAGTTATATTCTCCCCAATTTTCAGTAAAAATTATAACAAGGGATTTTTCTAAGATAATACAAGAAACAAACTTTTGAGCTTGGTGCCTCTCAGACAATCCCCACCTCACCCACCCCCACACCCACCCGAGGCAGCAGGAAAGCATAACTTCATGTTACAGCAAAAAACAACAATTCATCATCCAAAGCAAACAATTTTACTATTACTTTTTAAGTGCAAGAAAAAAGGTGAACCCAATTTTTTTTAAGGATGCACCAATTATGAAACCAAATTCAATCTAACCCAGTAAAATTTCAATAAAACAAAATCAACTTTCTATGTAAATAATATGGGCTAACCATATTTAACACACTTTTTTTCAAAGAACACAAAATAGAATTCGAAAAAGAGTTCTCTGTGCAAAAGCTATAAATAAAAAAATATATATAAAAAAAAGAGGAAAATTACGTAAGGAGAAAAGTGATCAAGAGTCTGATTGAACCAGTGTTCTTCTTTGGTTAAGTATTTGTTGTTCTGTGAACTGATTTGCTGAAGAAGCTGAGAATTTGAGATTCCCTTTGAGATTCTAAGCAACTGTAGGAAGAAAGCCAGAAATAGAGCTAAGCCACTTAACTTCTTCATCTTTTGTTGTTTCTGTTGTTTTTTGGGGGCAACAAATTGAGGTAAGATAATAGTAAGGTAAAATTGTTATTTGGACCAAAAAAAGGTATAATTGTTATATATCCTCGGAATTTTGCTTTTGTCGCTTGTTAAAACATCAACCTTGCCCAATTGTCCCACCTAACGGTGTCTAACGGGTGGGCCGGGCCGGGCTGGGTAGGAAAAATTAGTAACCGTACGGGTTGGGGTTTGGGCCGGTTACGGGTTGGGGCTCATCGGGTTTAATGGGTTCAGGTTCATCCGGGTAAAAAATGAAACCGTAAGGGTTACGGGTACAAGGGGCCGGGCAGGGCCGGGTTAGTGTAATTTTTAATTTTTTTTTGTATTTTGTATAACTATTGTAAGTTATATTAATATAAAGTAAAAATATAAAGAAAACAATGAAGATGGGAAAAAATTGCACTTATAAATTGCAAGTGCTACATTTATTTTAAAATTCAAACTTACAAATTGAAAGGTTTACATTTAACAACAAGTAAATTAACCAAAAAAGAGTAAATTCAAAGGTTTTGCATTGCCTTAGTAAGTTAGTCATAATCAATATGAACTGAGTGGCCTTCTTCTGGAGTGTTAAATTCGGATGGGTTACCATGTGTTAATATATCTCCAAGTTCTTCGTCTTTTGGGCTATCAACATCTTCACGTCCTTGATTTCTTCGTTCCGATCTAATCCAATCTCTGAAACATACTAAAACTTCCAAAGCATTGCTTCCCAATGAGTGACGAGTGTCTCCAAGTTGTTGTCTTGCTTGGCTAAATGCACTCTCTGATGCAACAGTTGAAATTGGCACATTAGCACGTCCCGAGCCATAGCGGAAAGAACAGGAAATTGCTTTCCATTCTCATGCCACCATCCCAACGGTGAAAATTCCTTTGTGCGAGGCTCTTTTAGCTTCTGCAAGTAGAATTGAAGTTCATCAATGTTCCT